ATGGGGTGCTGTGTGTACATTAATGAGGAAAAAAATTAACTTAAATTATTTTAGCAAATGGCTGCAATATAACAAAGAGTGAAAAATTTAAGGGGGTCTGAATACTTTCCGTACCCACTGTATATATATATACAGCGGGTAAAATAAGTATTGAACACGTCACCATTTTTCTCAGTAAATATATTTCTAAAGGTGCTGTTGACATGACATTTTCACCAGATCGGTAACAACCCAAGTAATCCATACATACAAAGAAAACAAAACAAATAAGTTCAGAAATTAAGTTGTGTGTAATAAAATGGAATGACACAGGGAAAAAGTATTGAACACGCTTACTGAAATTTATTTAATACTTTGTTCAAAAGCCTTAGTTGGTAATGACAGCTTCAAGACGCCTTCTGTATGGAGAAACTAGTCGCATGCATTGCTCAGGTGTGATTTTGGCCCATTCTTCAACAGAGTCTTCAAATCTTGAAGGTATCTTCAATCTTAATTAGGTTAGTTAGGCAAGTCATTGAACAACAGTGGTTTGTATACACTCCATAGTGCTGGAACAGCACAGAACTGAACACCTTTGTACACTGACGACTGTGCAACATCATACAGGCACATGACTTCTCCTACCATTGCTATGCTATCTGCTATGCTGATGACACACAGCTCTCTCTCTCATTTCAACCAGATGATCCAACGGTAGCTGCACGGATCTCAGGCTGCCTGGTGGACATCTCGGCATGGATGAAAGAATATCACCTGCAGCTCAACCTGGCAAAGATTGAGCTTCTTGTCTTCCCTGCCACTCCAACTCTACAGCATGATTTCACCATCCAGCTAGGTTCTAATACAATTACCCAATTAACTTCGGTCAGGAATCTTGGTGTAATCTTTGATGACCAGCTGACCTTCAAAGACCACATTGCAAAGACTGCTTGATCTTGCAGGTTTGCATTTACACAACATCAGAAAGATCAGGCCCTTTCTAACGGAGCATGCTGCACAACGTCTTGTCCAGGCCCTTGTAATTTCTAGGCTGGACTACTGCAGTGCTCTTCTGGCTGGACTTCCATCAACACAATCAAACCTCTACAAATGATTCCGAATGCAGTGGCACGACTGGTCTTCAACGAGCCCATGCTACACTTCTCTTTATTTCCTTGCAATGGCTACCGGTTTGCGGCTTGCATCAAGTTCAAGACATTGATGCTTCCATATAGAACAGGCTCAACACCCATCTACTTCCACTCACTACTACGAATCTACATCCCCTCCAGAAGTCTGAGATCCACTAGTGAGCGACGTCTCGTGGTACCATAACGGAGAGGCTCAAAATCATTTTCCAGAACGTTCTCGTTCACCGTTCCTGGCTGGTGGAATGATCTTCCCACCCCTATCCAGAATGCTGAATCCCTGACAATTTTCAAGCGACAGCTGAAAACTCATCTCTGTCGACGCTTCTTGACTTCATCCTAAATTAAAAAAACAAACTCTGTCTTTCTCTTTATTTATTCCTTCCCTTTCTAGCTTGTACTTATTTGAACAATGCCTAAAACTTTATTACAAGCACTTCCTGTGTCTGTTTGCCTCTTTAAGAAGAATCACTTTATGTATTCCCCAATTGTAAGTCGCTTTGGATAAAAGCGTCTGCAAAATGATTAAATGTAAATGTAGATGGGCAACAATGAGACGACCCCCAAAACAGGAATGGTTTTACTAGTGGAGGCCACTGAAATTTTTCCCTACTCATCTTTTCTGACACTTTTTTTTTTTTTTCACTAGTTTTGCATTTGGCTAGGGTCAGTGTCACTGCTGGTAGCATGAGGCAATACCTGAACCCTACAGAGGTTGCACAGGCAGTCCAACTCCTCCAGGATGGCACATCAATACGTACCATTGCCAGAAGGTTTGCCGTGTTTCCCAGCACAGTCTCAAGAACATGGAGGAGATTCCAGGAGACGGGCAGTTACTCTAGGAAAGCTGGACAGGGCCGTAGAAGGTCCTTAACCCATCAACAGGAGCGGTGTCTGCTCATTTGTGCAAGGAGGAACTGGATGAGCACTGCCAGAGCCCTACAAAATGACCTACAGCAGGCCACTGGTGTGAATGTCTCTGACCAAACAATCAGAAACAGACTTCATGAGGGTGGCCTGAGGACCGACGTCCTCTAGTGGACCTTGTGCTTACTGCCCAGCACCGTGGAGCTCGATTGGCATTGAACACCAGAATTGGCAGGTCCACACTGGTGCCCTGTGTGTTTCACAGATGAGACCAGGTTCACCCTGAGACGTGAAAGGGTCTGGAGAAGCCGTGGAGAATGTTGTGCTGCCTGTAACATCGTTCAGCATGGCCGGTTTGGGTGTGGGTAGTGATGGGAATAACGGCGTTACTTTTTTCAGTAATTAGTTCAATCAAACGAATTACTGTTTCCCCCGTTACAACGCCGTTACCGTTACTGACAATAAAAATTTGGCGTCACTATAATTTATTATATTATTTTTCAGTTCATCTAAATGGATGTGCAACGTACCTGTATTTGATGTACCGTAAACAGTGTGAAGGTGCACGACTCACCGTCGCTTTGTTTCTCACACACGCAAAGAAAGATACAGAGCGAGAGAGCCTTATATACCATGCAGAATTGACGAGCTACATGTAAACGATATTCTTTGTTGTATTTTCCTTTGGAATTCTTCAGTTTTAAAGAACTGACGGTTTTATCTTATCAGTATTATTTTTTAGTTCTATAATAATTCTATATATTCTATATAATAATTCTAAAAGTTCTATAATAATATCAGTATTAGTCTCCCCCCCC